CGTCATCGCCACAAGGACATAAATCCGACGTCATTGTACCCCCTCCTCTGACCGTCCGTCAACACCCGTCAGTACGGACGATGAATAAATCCATTAAAGTCATCACCAGTACGTGTAATAAATTTTAAAATTCGTATAACAACTTCGTGCTAAATATTCTTGAGTAGCAAAGATTAATTGTCTTTTGTTTGTTTGTGATTCTAGTAAATATAAAGTCTAACTTGATTCTGATAGACTAGATTACTGGAAAACAATTATGTAACTACTATACTCTTGATGCACCATACAAAAAGTGTAAATCAATAATGTAAAATTGTATTAAAGATTAACACGACCCTCAAACGATCGGGTTACAGAGACAGACAGACAGATGGACAGACGTCGTGTCAAAATTATGAGCGTGATACCGCGGGGCGCGCCTAGTGTCGGCCGGTCCCGGGGGCTAGGACACGTTTCACCGTCGATCATAATATTCATAGAGTGCATCATAATTTGTGGCCACGAAAACAGCGTAGTTTTTGTCACACATATAACAAATATTATGTTATACTTTTCTGGAGAGATCAAAATACTCGTTTAAAACATATCGTTATCTCAGTTTTGTCAACGATAATGTCACGTCGATATGTTTTATAAAGGTATTTTTGTTTCAGAAACAAACATATACTCGTATTTGTAGACTTAGTAGTAATAAATTTTATTACTCATCATTAAAACTATCTTACCAAAAGCTTAATCATTGAAACCATCACATTTATAAATGTATTCAATTCAAATGTAAAATAATAAACAGCAAAATAATGTTACAGATAAGATGAGAATGAAATAACCGTGTCATAAAGCGTATTGTTGTTATGTTGTTGCTCGTAAAATTATATGAAATATACCATTTAATTGAGCATATTTCTATTCAAAGTTTGTTTATAAATATTGATTGCGAACAATACAGTAATGTAGATACGAGTATTTTGTTCAAGCTATAAACTACTTTGAAACTAAATTACTTTCGCCAATTGTCTAAATGTTTAAAAGTATTCCCCATGATATGCGACAATGGGACAAATGGGGAGCGTCGGTGGCTCAGTGGTCAAGCACTTGACTTGCAATCTGCAGATCCTGGGTTCGAATCCCGCCATGTACCAATGTGTTTTTCGATTTTCGATTTACATATGTACATTTATCCGACGCTCTTACGGTGAAGGAAAACATCGTGATGCAACCTGCACATATCTGAGAAGTAATTCAAAGATACGTGTGAAGTCAACCAACCCGCACTTGGCCAGCGTGGTTGACTATGGCCTAATCACCCTTAACTTAGGGTAGGCTCCGAGCCCTTCGGTGGGGACCTATAGTGAGCTGATGATGATGATGATGTGACAATACAGGATGTCACCTTGCATATACTCTTCCAAATATTTCAGAAAAAACACGGCCATTCTACTTTATCCCTTTCAACGTAGAAAATACGATCAAAAATTGGCTTACAAAATGTCGATTGTGAGTGGCGTTTGATTTTAAAAAGCCACCTGAAGAATCTGGCTGCCGTTTAAAGCCATTCGGCAAAGTGCATCTCATTCAACGTTCGGTTTGTATTGTGTACCGAATCGAATACCTGGATAAAGAAGCGAATAGCGGCCGTATTTATAGTCAAGTGCATTTTATTACAATAAATTTGAATTTTAACATATTATAATATTACAAAAACAGACATATAAAAACTACATGTCTTATCAGTGGTTTTCGAGAAAAAATTTATATGCGTAATATAATACTTAGATGTATATTTACTTTTCTATGAATCAAACAAGTAGTATATAGTATGAATAAGGGTCATTCGACGAAGCAGTGCACATTTTGTAAAGTGGCGGTGTTCAGAGTGAAGCAATCAGCAGATTAAACCAAACAACTACTTACTTGTTGGTTTACGACACAAAAGCGGGACCTTACAGCGTATACCCCGCGGCGAGGCAACACAAATGCACTCTTTTTGACTGTGTACGTTAACGTACACTGTAAACTTAGTTTCAACTAAATAATTTATTATACGAGTATTTCCAAAATAAGTTTTTTTTATCAATATACTACAATTTAACACATGCGCGTAACCTGAGGGGTAAGCACAGATAGGTAGGAAAACACAGATTGATTTGGCTCGGACTTGAAGCACCTTTTCTTCCGTAATATGAATATCATACTATAGACAATTTTCCCATACACTTCCTTTAAAATATAAATTCAAGGATTATTTTTCATCTCACATTCACTTAATTTCGTTTTAAAACGAGTTTTCTTTCAAAGTGCGGTGTGTCGGACAGGCGTGACCGCTACAATTTAGCCGCGATCTTCCGACGGACAGCGAGACAGGGCCCGATTGCCTGTAGGAACAACGAGCTAGAAAATATAGAGGTGGCAGAATTGTTATAAGTTATGAGCTATAACTAATTATGTTATAATGTGTTATAAGTTATGAGCAACGTTGATAGTTGAAAGTTAATTTAAAGTTGATAAAATTTCTAGAGTAGATGTTTATCCAGTATAGTCTAGATTTATTTATGACCTTAAGTATATTATGCACAATCTTATATAAAATGTCCTTATCAATTTAAAGGCCATATCAGTCTTAGCTGAAGATTGTAACAGCTGATTTTGATATAATCTCAAATGTATTCCGTTACCTTCCTTGATTTTCTTATATGAAGTTACACCGAGTACATAGGCTTGTGCTGCAAGTAATCGAGAGCCGTGCGCCCGTGACGGAACTGTCCAGTGCTCCGCTGCAAATGTTACTTAGCAAGACGCACCAGCAGACGGGGCTTATTTATCTTTTAACAAGAAAATTGTATCAAAATTTTATTATTGATTTGTGGGAACTGAGCAAGTTATTACTCAAGAAAATATAATAAATATTTTAGTAGGCGCTTTTAAGGTTAAATAAAATAAAACCGGAATAGTATAAACTTCAAGTTATTTTAATAGAATATTTAATTAAAAAAGAAGCAAAATTAAAGTCATTCCAAACATTTAGAATACAAAGCGTTCTTATGTTCACCAGAGCAACTCTTTACGAAATAAATTTAGCGGAGATGATAAAATAAAAAGGGGAGATTTAACAACGATTACGCGCAATAATGTGGTAATAAATATCGCTCTCCAGGTAACCCTCGGGCTCGGCCGGGTCCGGTGTGCGGCGCACGCCATGAGTCTACTGGATGATCTGCTTAAACTGATATTATAAGATTTTTATTATCACCACTAGTTATGCCCTCAATGAATGAAACCTATAAATCTCAAGAATATTTCAACAGATGTCAGTTCAACGCAACAAAATTTTGCTGCCCACTGAAAGATCATCATCTTATAACTTTCTTCTTAATTCTTTGGACAAGGTTTAGTAGTAGATATAAATTATCGTTTTAGTTTTTTCTAAATATTTCAAACGCCATTTTATTTATTTAAAATATCAAATAACCAAACTTATCTAATTTAATAATAGCATCGCTGCCGTCAGCGACTTACGCCTTGTCCCCTCTTCCGGTCTCGACTCTGGGTTCCAAGCAGTAATTCACTTGGTAATTAGCACTCGTTGTATTCCAACAAAAGTGTCCACTCGTGCGCCGCGCGGACCCAAATCATTTTTTATTTGCGACCTCCATCCATAATCTTAACGGGGATCTTTCTTGACTTCTTTTGTTTTGCAGATTTCACGCAGTTTACATTTACAGGATAAAAACGGTTTTAAAAAAAATTCTGTTTGAATGTTTCTCATTTAAGTTTTTACACAGAGAAGACTTTTGTAATTTTCACATTAGGCTTATTTCGTAAAATAACGTTTTCTTTTTGTGTTTCATACTGCAATGCATTTGGGACAAGTAGTATATTAAATTTAGATTTTAATTTCATACACTATGAACGAAAACAATAATCATAACACTAACAGTGTTTTGCAATGTGCTAATACTTGCTGCACTGCTGCTCAAAATGTATTTAAAAATAATGGAATTCCCCTAATTTGCTGCACAGCTTGGAAATACTCTAAGATCATGCTAAAAATAAATATAGAATAAGCTAACGAAAGACAATACTGAGAGATTGTTTGCACTGATCGTATATATTAACTAAGTAAAGTGTTTCAGCTTCAACTATTGTAATAATATTTTAAACTTCGAAAGCTATAATAACAAGTATTTTAAATTTTTTTAAATAAACGACATCTATAGACTCTTGTTCTGTACTCTTTTTTCCCTACGCTAAATTACAATAGTTTTTTTTAACTTTTTTTAAGTGGCAAATACCTGTGGCCATGCAGCATGAGTGTTACGGTACTTTACCAATATTTATCGTCATTTCACATATTTCAACTTAATCGATATAACTCAGTATTAATATTTGTCAGTTGAAAGCGATAGATGGCGTATACCTGTACAGCGGTGAGGTTCCGTCCCGGCACCGAGCCCCTAATTACATTACTATGAGTACAAGCAGACTGCAATGCAGCGCCAAACATCATAACACGATGTTTACATCTTGCATAAACTCTGCCATCGCATTAAAAAATTGTATTTTTACATCAATGGATCAATTCTTTTGTTTTTCAATTGTTTCTATGAAGTTCAGTATTTTATTAAAACGAGAAAAACATTGAGATATTTCGTTAAATTAAAAAAAAAACTTCACATTTCCATAAATTAGAGTCACTTTACAAGATAAACAGAACGTCAATCTTTATGTATATAATTCTTCTGTGAGTGTGTATGTCACTGAACTTCTCTCAAACGACTGGACCGATTTTGATCAAATTTTTTGTGTGTGTTCAAGGGGATCTGGGAATGGTTTAGATTCACAATTTTCTCCGCTGGACAATGTTTTTTTTATTAATTTTTAATTTATTAGTAGTTGTTGATTTTGGAATGTTTTACATTGGATCAGACAGACGGCGCTACCATCGCAGTGTCAAATTTTAAATAACATTCGAATTAAAGACGTGTAAACATGACAACGTCTGTCGGGTCCGCTAGTATATGTATATAATTATATTAAATAGCCAAATAATCAATACTTTTATTAATACGTACGGTATTCTATACGTGTCTTTATTCAGTACTTTATCACTTTATCGCGTATTTTTATGATTATCAGTTTGTACGTGACGTGATACTAAAAGTAATAATTATACACACCCAAATATAAAATTAAATAGTAAGTCAATTATTATAAAACAATTATAAATTAAACATTTTATAATTACGCGTTAATTATCATAATTTACAAAATGTTTTGTTATAATAATAACATCACATACAAATGATAACTCACACAGTGTAAGACAAATATATGAAAAAAATTCTATTCATATATTAACGTCCAGCTTTAAAATTAATAATTTCACTAAAAACTATTTAAAACGTCGCCGCACCAAATATAAAGTTACCAGGATCATTAGGATTATCAGATGTGAAATATTGTATCCACAATTCTTGAAATTCTTGCCAAGTAACTTTTGGTTTACCTTTCGACATCACATCAAAAGCGGCTACACTGTCTTCCCTTAGAAGACCGAATGATTCGTAGACTGCTGAAAACTCTTCACTGTCAATAGCACCGTCACAACCGGCGTCTTCTAGTTGGAACATGAATTTGCAGTATGCCAGCTGCCAGTCCGCACCAGAATTAGGATTTCTGGCATAAGTCTCCCACATCGCCACCCATTCATCAGCAGTTACCTTTCCATCTTTATCAGCATCAGCGGCGGTTTGTAAACCTTCCCATATTTTGATCAGAGACTCCAAAGTTTCCTTATATTTATCATCACCTGATTTCCAACCTCGTAATTTGCAGATATTTTCGGCAGCTAATACAAAATCATTCCTTTCGATGCTTCCACTTGCATCTATGTCAAAGAAAATGTTAAAGAGATGCAGAAGTTTCTGTTTTCTAAATTCTGACACCATTTTTATGTTCACTAAACATTCACAGTTGATATCTACTAAAGGCCGTGTGTGACTAATTGTGGCGAACGTGGTATAATTTGAAATCAGGAGATAAAGATGGTATAAATAATTTATAGCTCGTTTCTTAATCGGCCAATTCAATATCTATGAAGAATGATTTGAATATCGTAATCGTTACTAACGAGACCAATTGCCAAGGCAATTCACCAGCCGTGATAAAAGAAAAATGTGTTCAATGGTTCAAAGCAACGCACACTATTAGCTATCGAATCAATAGTTGTTTTCTGTACAGCGCGTGATGTACGGAGGCTAAATATACTCGGCTTAACTAATTTTAACCTCAAAAAATTTAGGAAAGAATAACAGGATCATGACCGAATTTCATTTTGAAATCGTGTTTTATTAGATTATGTCCAAAAAAGGTAATAAAGAATCCAACAAATTTAGTGCATTCTAAAAGAAAAATAAAGCATAAAGATAAAGCGTTGATGAACTGCAACACTAGTACTGAGTCGCGGCATCACGTCCCGACGTGTGTGCTGTTGCCAACACGGTCTTTTAAATCTAATATATCTAATACTTAAAATTTTACAAAACTTGAAAAATGATAGGCTTACGATTTATATCTTAGGTTTTAACTAAACCAACTTTTTAAAGTAACAACAATAAATTGCTGGCAAATAAGCTTTTATTAAATTGAAATAAATACAAGGTACATAAAAAACAACACATATGTAAAAATTACAAAATTATTAAGGTTGATTCCAAATTCTATTGCACTTGGCCTTTTCAATTACAGAAATTTATTCAAAGCTAGGCCTGCCAATGATAAAATTTCCTGGAGCATTGGGATCTTCTGATATAAAAAAATCATACCACAATTCTTGGAATTCAGTCAAAGAGATCTTTGACTTGCCCTGAGAAAGCTTCTGGAAAGCAGCAAAGGCGTCTTTTTTACTGGCGCCTGATTTTATGTTCGCTGCTACAAAGTCGTCGCTGTCGATAAAACCATCGCCGTTCAAGTCCTGCATCTTGAAGACGAATTTGCAGTATTTGTCCAACCAGTCTTGATCTGCTGCATTCTTGCTGACAGTGTCCCACATTGTCACCCATTCTTCCGCACTCACTTGACCATCGCTGTTGGAGTCTCCTACCTTTTGCAAGGCATCCCACACTATGTCAAAGCATTCATCATACGTGGCATCACCCTTTTTCAATTCTCTTTGTTTTGCCGCGTGTGCTCGACATGCTCCAAAGCAACAAGACATTTCAAAGTCCTTCTTTTCTATAGTGCCGTTGCCATCTTTGTCTAACACCTTGAACATGTACATTAACTTTTTCCTCCTGAAGTCAGACACCATTTTCAATGCGATTACTAGTCTGTATGTTTGTTCAAATATTTGGATGTCTTTTATATAGTGAGTTGGTTTATTTTTAATTACATACGATTATTACACTTAATTCGATTTAACGATAGCCATTATCAGTACGTAATCTAATCAGCTTGTTGCTATTGAAATGAGGCCCATATTAATGTACAAGTAAAATTAGGAATTTATTTTCTAGAAACAATGCCCAAAGTGAAAGTACACATACATTTAAGTGACAAATACGTATAAGTATGGTTCTGTAAAACCTGTTTACTAAAGATAAGAAAATTTCATTTACCGCCGTTGGGCTTAAAAAAAGGGCCCGAAAATGAAAAAGCCCAAAAACTCTGAGATATCAGCGATGTCAATAGGGTACAAGTATTTTTAGATGTATGAATAAGATTTAAGAATACAATATTGAAACATTGACATCTATAGACATTTAATAAAAATACACCAAGATATTAATTAATAAATCGATAACAATATACCTAGAAATAACAGATGTCACTAATAGATGGCGCTTTAAATGTTTGTGAAAAAAAAATTACAGTAAAGACACCTATGCTAAAATTTTTAAATAAAATATTCTAAACCGAATGAAATTTTTCTCCTAAATATGGGTAAAACAAAAACTTTCTTTGTGAAATACTGATGATTACTAAATAAAAAAAACTTTTTATGTTATCGTATTATTCTTTGACTCCACTGGTTCTAACACGTAGGTCCATTCGATCGCCAGGTTTTTTTAACTTCACTAATACCGCCCAAGATGAAATTTGCTTATGTTTAAATATTTTCACATAATGCTAAAAACTATCAGACTAGCTAAATTAATTTTAGTTTTAAATACAGATCTTGTAATAATATATCATGCTGGCATTGTATGATGAAAATAGTCAATCAAAATAATTAAAAAAGTAGTTATTACTTTGCAATCAAAAAGCTTCATTGCAAACGAAAAACAATTTATTCATTTTTAAGATTTTAAAAAAAATTATCTTCGCTGATATTCTCAAAACGTACCAACGTTTCATCCACATATGTCAATTGGTTTAGGAGCACCTTTGTGTTTAATATGTATTTTTATTTATAAGTAATAAGTTTATATTATATTTCATGAGACAGACATCAATAATGGTATATCTTCGTTCTATAGTATCCGTAATATCTCTATTAATAATTTGCTTAAAATCTTATATTTCCGTTACATTCTTTACTGTAATATTTGCATTATCTTGAGACTGAAAGAGTTTATAGCATTACTCCAAAGATGATTAATTTTTTTTTGTTCCTTTATAATATAATAGTTATTGGATATTATGATTATCCTGATTCCATAATTTATTCCAATAAAAACATACTAAAAGGTAATTAGGAGCAATGTTTGAATTAAAGCCAAATTGTTTAACTTTTAAGGTAAGGTAAGGTGCGGTTTTTAATATATTACTCTACTCACTCTACTGTGTGTGGTGCAAAATCAATTTATATTTGCACACCAAGAGCTGCTAATTTATTTAATTCTTACTTAATTTGACTATATCATGATATTGTGTAGAAAACATAATTCCATGTTTTTTGTTGGTTAAGGAGGAGGTTTGGTAATAATGAACTTGTTTTTTTAATTTTAAAATTTGTAATTAATTACAACTTCAAAAACATGTTTACAAACACGCTATAAAAATATGAAAATGCATTTAACTGCATATTTAAAAGGCACGAGGCGTATCACATTTAATAATAAATACTTTCATATGTTATTACAATACAAACAGTTATACAAACGAACAAAAAATATCACTAATCCAAGCTAGGCCTACCGGTGATGAAGTTTCCTGGCGCATTAGGATCTTCAGTTGTGAAATACTCATTCCACAATTTTTGGAAGTCTGTCAAGGAGATTTGTGACTTGCCTTGCGCTAGTTTCTGGAACGCTTCTAAAGCATTTTCCTTGGTGTTACCAGATTTTGTGCTGCCATTTACAAAATCATCGACGTCGATAAATCCATCGCCGTTCAAGTCTTGCATTTTGAAGATGAATTTGCAGTATTTGTCAAACCAGTCTTGATCTGCTTTGCTCTTGCTGACTGTGTCCCACATTGTGACCCATTCGTCCGCACTCACTTGACCATCACTGTTCGAGTCTCCCACCTTTTGCAAGGCATCCCACACCATGTCGATGGTGTCAAAGCACTCCTTATATAAGGCATCTCCCTCTTTCCATCCTCGCTGTTTCGCCGCATTTTCCGCTGCCAGCTCGAAGTCCTTCTTATCGATGGAGCCGCTGCCGTCTTTGTCCAAGAACTTAAACATGAACAACAACTTTTTCCTTCTGAAGTCGGACACCATTTTGAATGTGATTTGTGATTGTTTTTGTACGTAACGCGAAATGAACAGACGTCGTCTTTTATATACTGTGATTTTTACCTATGAAATATAGATAACTGTTTTTAATGTCATTATGATTAACAAAAATGTAATATGTATTTTGTAATACAATATTGAAAACCTAAATCAAATGATAGCGATTATGACATCTTATCTTTTAGCAATCTTCCTGTGTCAACAATACTAAGTACATTACAAAGAAAAAACATTTATTTTGATTTTTTTTTATATCACAAGGTGGCAAACGAGCGAGCGGCCACCTGAAATCACTGAAATAGCGAAGTGACCGTTGCCCATAGGCATACGCAATTGCATATGCGTTGCCTACCATAAATCGACGGAGGAGAGGATGCACAGAAAGAAAATATCTTCCCTTTCCATGCATCCTCTCATCCGGAAAGTCCCCTTCCACTTCCCATCCTTTCCTTATAAAAAAAAAAAGATGGGAAGGGAAAGAGGACTAAATTAGGCCTCCGGGACTCCGGACCGGATTTTTTGAACCATATATATATAATATATTTGTGACTTTTATTGACCCAAACAAAGAAGTACTGTTTACGGTAGCATTATAATTTTATATTTAAGGCTAATTATTTAAATTAAGCCAAAACATTTACATAAACCTTACATATTTCTAAACAAACTTGCATCCAACTATTTCCAATTGCTATTTAGCAACCTTGAGGGTGAAATTTTTAGAAACTTTGAATCTCATATTTAATATTAAATTAAAAGCCTAAAAAATAAGCATCAAAGTTTTAGCCAAAATATACCAAGATTAGACGTAGAAAGAAGGGACACACTTATTACGTTTTTAATTTATTATCGGTCAGGTTAAATATTTAGGATTATTTTAAATTAAACAGGTAATAATTATTTAAAAGTTGTATTAAATACAAAATGTAAAACATGTAACAGAATTTTCTTTCAGGCAAACAATTTATGAACTTACACATTACTGCAATTTTCACGTCCAGGTTTCGTCCGTTTTTCACAAGAAAAATACATTTATAAGTTAATGGTACAAAGTTTAAAAAAAACACTGTTTAATTAATCAAAACTAGATTTGCCAGCAATGTAGTTTCCTGGCGCATTGGGGTCTTCACTTAAGAAATACTCATCCCACAAATTTTGGAAGTCTGTCAAGGAGATTTTTGGTTTTCCTTGCGATAGCTTCAGGAAAGCTGCCAAAAGATCTTCCTGGCTGATTCCTGTTATTTTTCCTGCAGCTACATAATCATCACTGTCGATAAAGCCGTCGTTATTATAGTCTTGCATTTTGAAGATGAACTTGCAATATTGGGTCAACCACTCGCGGTCCGCTGCGCTTTTGCTAATGGTGTCCCACATTGTGACCCACTCGTCCGCACTCACTTCACCGTCGTTGTTCGCATCTCCCACCCTTTGTAAGGCATTCCACACCAAGTCTATAGTGTCAAAGCACTCCTTATATAAGGCGTCACCCTCCTTCCATCCTCGTTGTTTCGCTGCGTTTTCAGCGGCAAGCTGGAAGTCCTTCTTGTCGATTGAGCCGCTGTTATCTTTGTCCAAGAACTTGTACATATGCAATAACTTCTTCCTTCTGAAGTCGGACACCATTTTGAATGCGTTCTGATGTATGTTTACTAACCCGTTCAATCGTCGCAACTTATATACCAGATAGATTAGCCCATAATTACCCTAGACATTTAGATTTAGATTATTTTATAAATATCATCGTGATTAACTAACGTTAAGTATTATAGAGTACTAGCTTTCCCCGCGACTCTGTCTGCGCGGGTTAGAAAAAAACTTAATTAGTAGCCAGTATTAGTGTTAGGATCTAGTTAGTGCCATCACCGGAGCTTAGACACGGGTGTTAGCTGTTCTTAAGAATTTTATGGACAAATTATATGTTGATTTTTGTAGCATTGACAATGTACAATATTTTTGTATGACGATTTTAGGTGCAAGTTGCACAGTACCCAATAGATTAGATATGAATGTTGTTAAATAATAATTCCAGATTAATTTTACTGACGACGCATATTTTGTACAATAATCTCTATATTTTCAAATATTTTTCAACAAGTAAACACAATGTTAAATACAAAGCAAGTGTACATCGTAAGTGATCAGCAGTGCTGGTATTCTTGACGAACGAATTATAGCAAATTGTTGCATAATAATTAAAGGTGATATAATATTTATTAAGTGATTAGGAAAAAGACTTGTTTGACAGGACTGCAACACCAGAGAAGAAGAAGAATATCTTACCCAAGAGTAGTATAATATATATCAATATAGAAGAATGAAAAGAGGAAGAAAGGTCCCAAACTATTAAAATTACGATGTAAAGTGACGCATACAGCGTGATCCATGTTTTAGTAATTATTTTATAAAGTTGTCCATTTTTAAATGAGAAATTATGTTAGTGTCAATAATATTATTTATTAATAAACAAATAATTTTAAATACATACGCTTTTATACACACTAATAAATAACGATATTTTCATGATTCTAGCATTTCTTTCTACATAAAAGGTGAAAAAGGTCTGCCTCCACTGAGCTCTCCACGGATTAAAAAGTCGACGTTCCAAAGATGTAGTTTCCGGGTGCGCTAGGATCTTCGGCCGCGAAGAACTCCCTCCAGAGTTCTTGGAACTCCGTCCACGAAACAGTTGATTTGCCTTTTGACATCTTCTGGAAAGCGGACACCGCCTCTTCCTTGCTTCTACCGAATGAAACGCAAACCGTTGAGAACTCTTCAGTATCAATACCGCCATCGCCAGTTGCATCCTGCAGCCGGAAGATAAACTTACAATATTCACTCTGCCAGGCATGGGCCGAGGACGGGTTCTGAGCGAAGGCGTCCCACATTGCGATCCATTCGTCGGCGGTGACAGACCCGTCTTTGTCCGCGTCTGCAACACGTTCTAAGTCACTCCACACCTTGAGGAGTGTATCGAAAGTCTCCTTGTACTTAGCATCTCCCTGCTTCCATCCTCTCAACTTGGAAATATTCTCCGCCGCCTGCTCAAAGTCTTGTTTCTCCACGGCCCCGCTGGCATCCTTGTCAAAGAATCTATGCAGGAATAGCAGCTTCTTTTTTCTAAAGTCAGACACCATTTTGATTTTGTAAATCAGCTAAGTCTTGTAAATTTGTTTAATTATTTAAACATAGTCTTTCTTATATATGACTCTCTTTAGTGTTGATGTTAGATAAATTTAATCAAAATAATCATTTTAAAAAGTTGCATTCGTTATCTATCTGCATTGCGGAAAACTTATTATTTTACAGAGTAGTTAAAAAAGGAAAGTATCATTTACATTATTCTTAATAATAAGTTTTCTTGTACTCGTCGTAAGTATAAATTAATGTTTCATAATACTATCAGTACATTACATGAATAATTGTTAATATTATAGTTGTCTTAATCTTTAAAAGTTACGACATCTCTTGTTCTTGCAAACAATATATGTTATTTGTGTATTCACAAGCTGAGGAAAAATACCCTTAAATAATGAACATTATTAAATGTTCATCTCTGTCAGCTCTGTTGGATAGCTATTCTGTGCGTAATCTCGCATCGATAATGATTTTCTAGAAATTATCACAATCACATTTTGTTTACAATTTATTCAATATTTATTAAATAGATTTAAATAAATCCGATTATAGATCAATTTAAAAATACTCTTTAATTTTGAATCGAATTGGAGGCTAGAATCGAATATTGTAGAATTCGACTATAATGTAATTAGACTAACAACATTAAACGAGCTCTCGTTCGCGAAAAAAAATTGATTCCTATGTGTTCTACCAGGCTATGTTCTACATCTATGCAAATTTTCAGCGAAATCTATACAGCCGTTTCGGAGATACCTTCATTCAGAGAACGAAGAGTCATCCACCCATCCAAATATTCTTATCTATAGTATTAGTAAGAGATAGGTACATCAAAAGTCTTAAAAGATATAATAAAACATCTAGATTTTTTAAAAGCACATCTTTTTATTTATCGACAATTCAAAAATGACACAGAAAATTTCGTTTAAGTTAACAATTAATGAGAATAATTCAAATTCTTAAGTTTTACTACTGTTAAGATTTAAATAAAATTAACTAAAGTCTTTTTGTTAACACGAAGAAAACGTGTTGTTTCAACAACAATATTTAAAAACTAGATCTGCCGAAGATGAAATTTCCTGGAGCGTTCGGGTCTTCGGTAACGAAATACTCTTTCCATAATTCTTGGAATTCGGGCCAGGAGACATTCGCCTTACCTTTGGCCATCTTTTGGAAGGCAGCCACGGCCTCGTCCTTGTTCAGACCAAACGAAGCGTAGACTGTGGAGAACTCCTCGCTGTCGATAGCACCGTCATTGCTGGCATCCTCCAACTGGAAGATAAACTTGCAGTACTGGTTCTGCCAGTCGTACGCCGACGACGGGTTCTTGGCGTACGCCTCCCACATCGACACCCACTCGTCAGCAGTCACCTCGCCGTCTTTATTCGCGTCCGCTACACTTTGTAGACCGTCCCACACCTTCAGCAAGGTATCTAATGTCTCCTTGTATTTAGCGTCGCCCTGTTTCCATCCTCTCAACTTGGAAATGTTCTCCGCCGCCTGCTCGAAGTCCTTCTTATCTACAGAGCCACTGCCATCTCTGTCAAAGAACTTGTTGAACAAATGCAATAGCTTCTTCTTTCTGAAGTCGGACACCATTGTGACTGCTGGCTGATGACTACTTGTTTCTGTGCGCAGACTCCGGCGCTTATATAGAGAGTTCATTAGTTTCTCATGTTGATAACGATCAATTTATCTTTTGTAAATCTGTGCCGACAGACAGAGATGACGTCTGTTGGTTATCGTTTCGCCGTCCATCTGCATTGCAGCGAAACTTATGTTAGTATAGAGTAGTTAACAAGTACAATAATTAATTTTCATATTGTATTAACTTTTCACAACTGGCGTAAAGATTTTTGTTGCAGATTAAACGTAAGAAGCTTAAACGGTTATGGTTAAGCTATAAAAATGTTTCATCAATATCATAAATGAACTCCATTTTAAATGCAAGTACTTCTATTTTTTCTTTTCCTGGAATATTATTCCTATAAGCTCTAAAACTCTCTTACCTTTTTGCGGTGTTCTGTTTTACAACTTTAATCTGTGTTCATGAAACACGGTAATTACCAACTTAAAAAATATATAATAAGTTATTTTACTGTGAACCGTCTGTTGGTTTACAATCTATGGACATGTGAAGTGCAAATGAATGTCCAAGAGCAGTGAACAGTTATATCTTTTATTTACATCCACTTGTTACAGTCACAACTCCTGTTGCTAGCTGCCACTTGACATAATCTTACTAATTACATATGCTAAAGTTTAGATGAATGTATGGATGTTTGTTATAACATAAATCCAGAAACGCTTAACAGATTTGGAGGAAATTTAGAACAGAGATAGATTACAGCCTGGAACAACGCGTAGGATACTAATTATTGGATACTATAAACATTATATTTCTTTTTTCAATTCCAGTCAGACGGCGTCGCGGGCAACAGCTAGTAAAGTCATATAATATGATAAACAACTACGAAAGAAATTAACACAAACAATTGTAAGCAGAAGAACAACAGGTAAGCAGAAGTCTCATAATTAATAACGTAGTAATTTCAAAGAAATAAATCATAGGAAAACAAAACATTTAATGCAGGTCAACAATTACTTTATATTATAAAAATCAATAAGTCCCTCATTTCTCTGTAAGAGCCTTTGAACCAACGTGCTAGTGCAAGGATTAACCGCTAGACGGCACTTCCGCCGCACCACCGGAACTATGGAGGACTGAACGTCTCTTGAAAATATATAAAAAAAAAAACTGAAGCAGGAGTGTATGAAAATGTACTATATTATCGCATACTTCCACGACTTAGCATGGGTTTCCGAGATCAAAATGCTCGTTTCAAAAATAATATTGTTGTGTCTATTTTGTCAAAGATGATGATATGTTTTATACATAGATTTTGGTCTCAGAAACCGACCGTAAGAAATGATAATGTGTAGTAATAATGTAAATATAAAATTTTGTACGTTTAAGATAACTAGAACATTGTTATTCATGTTCAAGATTTCATTACAGTTGTACTTGTTTAGCCTAAAGGCAGAAAGGCAGCTGCACTCGGTCAGCACTAAATGTCAATTCACCAGCTCACTGACTGATAATTCAGGAGACAATTTATAAATCTTCTGACTCAGCAGTGACTGGGCAATCTCTTATCAAAATCAAATTATAATTTTGAAGCGCAGATTAAATAGATAAAACTCATATTATTATATATCTTTAATGAACATAAATAGTTACAATAATATACAACAAATGCAGAAATATACACAAATATAAGCAAAATTATTCGATATCTGAAGCGCAATATAACTGAGATTAATCAAGGCGAGGGAGATGAAAACAATAGGTTGCCGAGTGCGTTAGCGTCCTCACTGGTAAAGTACTCCTGCCACAACTTCTGGAACTCGGCCCAGGACAATGTCGACTTTCCTTGAGATAGCTTTCCAAAAGTCTTAACGGCGTCATCTTTCTTGAATCCCCAAGATTCGTAGGCCTTTACAAACTCCTCGTTGTCTATGCTGCCGTCATTGCCCGTATCTAGGAGTTGGAAGATAAACTTGCAGTAGACTTTCTGCCACTCCTGCGGGGCGGCAGGATTCTTAGCGTACGCGTCCCACTGCGCCACCCACTCGTCGGCAGAGACATGTCCGTCCTTGTTGGCGTCCGCCTGCTGCAAACCGCTCCAGATTGCTAGGAGTGCATTAAGATATTCCTTGTGCTTCACTTCGTTGATTGTACCATCCGGCGACTTTGCTATCGTCTCTGCCATCGTTTCAAAATCTTTCTTCTCGATCTTTCCATTGCTATCAGTATCAAAATGGGCAAAAATATCTAAGTACTTCTTCTTTCGGAAATCTGAAACCATTTTTACTGTACACTGAATACTTGTTAACTACTTGCTCATTCTGAATGATGGGGTCTTTTATAGCATATTTTAAGACTAGTTGTTAAGATAAATTCTTATCTGTAATTTTTAAACCGAGGTAATGATGTGATGATGACATCTGGGGATTAATTCTGTGGATTTTCTGAATTATGTCATACTGGGAAATTCGTTATTTGAGAGTCATCCAATGTCATAGAGTTGAGATTAAGCTGGCAATATGTTTTAGCAGCATTAAATGCAGCCATACAACGTAATTAGCAACGTTGTTATTATTTTTATACAATGAGAAAATTTTGAAAATTTAAATGTTACATCATGTTGTTGGCTTTTCTTTGTAAAAAAAAAACTATCTTGACCATCGTGGCTTTGTTTACTATTTACCAATTAAGAAATTCGAGGAAAAACTGATGTTAATAAGCATATTAGCGATAACGAGACCAAATCTGTCCCAACTTTTACTTCATTGGTCTTTAAAAAGAACAATAAAAGACAGACTTAACTCAATTTTCTTACGTTAATCCAATTTGTACCTGAACTTTGCAATCCATTCGATTACTGTTACTGCTATGTTTCTTTTGTGTTATAAAAATAATACTAAAATCCGCAATTTATGGCACAAATCGTCATCTTCTTTTCTTAACATGATCTTATTAATTCCTCTTTTGTTTATCACAAAAGCAAAACATTTTGCTTACAAATTGGTTCTGTAAACTTCAGCTAAAGCGCTGATTTTATACCACCAACCCATTGTTTTGCGTGTAGAAATAACTTCGTACATACTTCACCACACTTGATCATTTTACATCAACGTATCCTGTAATAAATTTTTGTGGTCAAGCGATGCTCTGTCGTGTGATATAAAAATAATATTTTTCTGCGAGTACATCCCCCTTCTCCCCCCATGTCTCGGTAACTATCTGTATGATTAACGCAGCATCGTTTCCCGTCGTAAATATAATATGTTGCGTATTATCGTAAACCGTGCGAGCGGCAAAACTCCAGCGTATAATAGAATACATAAGCGAGCGTCTTCGGCCCGCCGTGACAGATACGCCGCATCTGTCACGGTCGCCAGCACGCCCACAGACAGACATGCAAACACTAACTTTTATAGATGCGGCATCCCACTGGAAATAATCCCTTATATTTTTATGCTAGATTGATTTCATGTTTTGTTGTAATGATTTGTAAACCACATCCTGATGCGATATACATAGTAAAAATTATTTGTGAGAGGACGAGCGGTAATTGTCAAAGTATGAAACATAATGTAATTAATAAGTACCTACTATAATTCAACTGAAAATGAAAAAAAAACACAATTATATAACAACAAATATCTTTAATCACTATATCAGATAAGTAACTTTAATCGTAAATTTTATACAAATAAAATGAGAGATAAGAAGTTCCAAAGATATGTTATGACGCACGAAGTCGGTCAGCCCCGCGCCCTGTCACGTAACTTACGAGTAATTGTATTTGTTACAATCGATAACGTTCAATTAATCATCTTGTTAAATACAAAATTAAATATCTATTTTACTCCCTATAACTAGAACTAAAAGCACTTACATAACCCTCTATTCTAAACATCAAACAAATTGGACAGGACTTATCACAAATAGCGGCTTCGCAATCCTAAGATTGAAAAAAAAGGAATTAATATATTTTCTATAAAAAGAGCACATCAGTTGGCAGAATGCAGATTCTGAAAACGATTTCTTATAAAATAATAGTTGGCAAATATAAATAAAATAAATACCACATCCATTTGTTTGTTTCTTACACTCCTTGTACAAGAGACTAATGCGATAAAAGAGAGTTCTAATGGCGATAGAGGGATGCTCTCGGGGTGCGGCGCGGGGATGCATGGGGTAGGGGGAGGGGGAGGGGGCACATAAGTACTCATTTGCAATATAGAATTTTTTCTATCAGAGTGATGCATGCATCGTTCTAATGCGTCTTTATGAGCCAGGCCGGAGATTGTCCAGGCTTACAGCATGGCTTGCGACTGGCGAGGTGGCTTGCGGTGTGCGTCGCGCCGATAGTCCGCTATCTATTCGCACTCGCCCGCTGTTTGTTTGGTGATATGGAACTTAATAACTTTATCGTTTTACGCAATTGGTTCTCTGGAACATTCGACATGGGTGATAAAATTGTTAAAAGCTGCAATCATCTTACGTCACTAGGAAGTTAATGAAATATTATTTCATAACATTTTGAAATTGGATAGTAACTTATAAGCAATAATGAAAAAAACATAATACAATAAGTTTTTAACAAGGTCCTATCTTTATCTTAGCAAATAATCTATTGGTAAAATAAATCTGTCAATGTTTACATAACAGTTGAGCTGCAGACAGAGTTAGTTACACTCGCGAAACTAAAACCAAATTATTATTGTCTTCAAATGTTATTAATCGCGACTAAATGTATCTAACAGCATATAAATATGTTTAGTTTGCTACTAAAATCACATAAACAAACAAGAGGGCTGTGGTTGTCCCGCCCAGCACCACAGCAATACATCAACGGACAAACAGACCAAAGAACAAAGGCATTATAAAACCCTCGTGTTCGGATTTAGATTCCCTAGGGCTAGAAAAAAACACATTCTTTGCCACACTCGTTGTGCTGTGTCGCGGTTTAATTTCGTGGCCTTTGTTCCGTTTGCGACTGCAACGAAATGTTAGATTATGTTGAAAATATTTAAAAAAAACATATATTAATGAGAAAATAGATTTAAAACCATTTGTCTAAAAGTAAACTTTGGATTTTCTCAATTTTAAACATGCACCACCGCAGATGACAAATACTTAGGTATTTTATAAATATATAATTCATAAAATATGAGTAGTTAAAATATTAAATATAATTTGAAAAGTCTGTTATCGGCTGTTAAATTTAAAAAGGGTCTTGACAGACAGACGGACGGAAAACAAAGTGATCCTATTAGGTTTGCGTTTTATTCCTTTCGAGGTATGGAACCCTAAATAGCATCGTGATTCACACCAATGAAAATGAACAGAAAGATTGCTACAGGTATACTAATACCTATCTCCATGACAACAATTATAATAAAATCTACATCAAACACACAAAATATAAGTACAATCACAATGCAAACGAAGACGTCAAGATAAGGTTGAAACAGGAACAGAAATTAGTAACAAATTATAACTAAGCAGTTGATGATAACAACTTTTCTGTTTTCTTATAAAACTCGTTTCTATGATTAAGAATAGTATTGTGTTAGTAAAGTTAATATAAATTAAGAATATGATATAATATAAATCAAATAAAGTTTTATCTTACTCTTATAAACAAGTCTGGATATAGATACAAAGCTACGAAAAACATTATTAGTGCTCAAACTATTGTAAACGTTAAGGTTCTTAAAGTTATCACCCGACTCATTAGTCACAAACCATGCAAAATATACATATTCCAGCATAACAAGTATTATAAAAAAGTCGTAACATTAAAAACGGCATTAAGCGACGCCAGACCTAATTCAGTGAAAAGTTAACTGTTGCGGTGTTACAGCCTCATAAAACGTTTAAAAATAATAACGAAAAATTAAAAATGAAGAAATTTAATAGCAGGTGGAACGTTCAAGGGATGCCACAGACTTTATATCACATAGACAGAAGAATAGAATTTTAAATATTATTTAAAATTTTGAAATCGTTTTTTTTTATATCATAAGGTGGCAAACGAGCGAGCGGTCACCTGAAATCGCTGAAATAACGAAGTGACCGTTGCCCATAGACATACGCAATCGCATATGCGTTGCCTACCTTTAATCGACGGAGGAGGAAATGCACAGAAAGAAAATATCTTCCCCTTCCATTCATCCTCTCATCCGGAAAGTCCACTTCCACTTCCCATCCCTTCCCCATAAGAAAAAGGGTGGGAAGGGAAAGAGGACATAATTAGGCCTCCGGGACGCACACTCATCAGACGAAACGCGGAATTGCTTCCACTTCACGCCTGTCTTCTATGTGGTCGTGGTATTTCACCGGACGAGCCGGGCCAATTCGTGAAAAAGTCTCGTCTCGCTATAAATACGTTTGACGCAGGATACTATGCAGATAGCCTTCCTATTAAGGCTGGCTGATAATTATGTTCTTTAAAATAGTCATTAACTAGATAATATATTAAATACATTATAATTAATTTAATGTTTCAGTATATTTGATAAAGACAACGTGACAGTGTTGCGGGTGTGAGCGATGGCCGCTCATGAGACCATTTATATCAATTAAACTTCGGGCAATTTGCAAACTGCAATATATTTGCGTCGCTTAATGGTTTTTTGTTCCGCATCACAGATACGTCTCTGATTCATTGCGGAAAATTTTGTTTTTTGTTTGCCTTTTTGCTGGTAAGCGGCATCTTGCCTAAGGCGCATCTCACTTGAGGCATACGTTTTACGTAGCTAAATAAATCTATGAAGTTGTGATACTTTTTGAATGCAATATTATTTTAACATGTCTCTTAAATTAGTTATTTACATTGTGAAAGTACGTAAAAGTGATATCATTATAATATTTCGTGAAGGGTTTCAGTAAATTATTCACCCTAAATTTAAAACATTTGAATCATCACTGCACCTAAATTTAGTGCATTTTTGTCACATGAGTCACATGTAGAAATATGCTTATTAGCTACGTACTATAAACTATTCATGTCAATCTTATCTTACTAATATTATAAATGCGGATGTTTAGATGTATGGATGAATGTTTGTTAGAAGGTATTTAATACTGCTGATCTCGAAATTTGGCATAGATGTAAGACATAGAAATTCCAGAGAACAACACATAGACTTCTAATAAAGTTTTTTTTTAATTTCGCGCGGACGAAGGCGCGGGCGTCAGCTAGTATTACCATAAATAACTGATAGATTAAAAATGTTTGGAATAAATGAATTTAGGGCGAAGATGGTGCAAACCGTGCTGTACTGCTGCAAAAGAAAATTATAAAATATTCATCCCGACCATGAATATTAACATGCTCGTGCTGTTATTTAAATACAGCTAAAAACATTTCGAGTCGTAAAGCGACCGGCAAATTTAACAGCATCGTAAACCGATGGAAAAGCGGCTGGGAATAATTTTATGACAACAAAATCATCTTCTTTCCCTGTTTACGATAAATTTTGCGAACCTAAGAGAGAATTTATAATCATTGGTATACTACTAATGCTGCTAATATAATAAATATAAACAAATAATGTTTAACAATAATTTTTTTAAAGAAGTAATGGAGGCTATTTTAACTTGATTATCTACCTGACCAAAGCCAGGCCGAATTTTTAGTACCTATAATTATTTTAGATTTCACAGACACCACGTAAACACACATCGTGTAATCTTATCTCCTCGCCAGAGAAATATCATCCAATCATATTAGAACAGGTAACTTTTTCAAATTGAAAACACAATATTTGACAGTAATTCTTGGTGTTTACATTACATTAAGACTCAAATAAAGCATCACACTAATGTATGTATATTACTTGTTTTTTTTAAAGATGTTTTCTTTGACAAATAAGAATTAAAGGTAAACTTTTTTACTGCCCGAAATGCAAGGCGATTCGTTTCACAGTATTGTAAAAGTCTATATATTTTAATTAGCTCTAAATAGTTAGAAAAAGATGGGGATGTATTTGTCAAAAAATCTAGCTGGTATACTACTAGATTAGCTAGGATAATAAAATTTCACAAAATTATGACGACAAACTAACATACAGTGCAGTTGCAGTCCGGAAGTAGTATTATTTTTAATAGCGGCCACAGCGCCGCGTGACCTCATTGCACGCCGCTAATCTGCAGCGTGGAGTGACTACGCAAAACGCGTTCCCATTGAACCTAAACAAGTCCATAATTACTATTTTCTTTACACGTCTTAATTAATCTTACTTCTTACTTATGTTATAGATCCGAATGTTTAGATGGATGAATGTTTATTATTAGGTATCTTCAGAAAATATAAACGGATCTCGCTGATATTTGGCATAGATATAGAAAGAAGCATGGACGACATAATAATTACATCTATATTGTCGCTAGTTTTGCATAAATGGAGCTAACTTAATATTGATTAATTATGAATCTCAGATTTGAACGTCAGACGATATATGTGGTGCAGTGGACACGCGTCGACATTACTCGACAGGCGCACTCCGCCCACTGCACGTTGTCGCCCGGCGCTCGACGCGTCGCAACGGTCTCCGCTTATTAGCATTTACATTTTTATGCTTATCAACACCAGATGGGTTAGCTTTTGCATCATATAAGTGTTATAAAGTACTCAGCCTAAGAGCCCGTACAGTTTTGTATATTGCAGGTAAAAATAATTAATCCCAATATCAAATGAAAAGAACAAGAGGACTTGCATTTATTGTTTCGATCTTAAAATTTCCTCCACTAAATTGTTTATAGGCAAACCCAATATAATACATTTTGTTCACATAAAATCGAACATTTTATGTCGTAGTCAAAACAATAAAGAGCGGAAACCACTCTCCGCCATTAGTCAAACGACTCGTGGCTTGTTCGAGTATTTCATTTATATGCAACTGAAAATAAGAGCGTTGCTTTCCACTAAAACGACTGTCACAATTATATGCTATACTTTACGATTGCAATGAAAGTTAAAATCTTTGTAAAATGGAAACAAAATGCACTGAAGCTGAAAGCCTGCACTTTATATATTTGTCGATCTTTAATGGAGTATTTCATTATATTGTACTCTAACAGCACAATTATTATAATTATACAAAATATGCAGAATCTTTAAGTTTCGATAGTATAAGGTGTTGAGAATTACCATTCTGCCAAAGACGTGGCATACTGACCAGAACCTTTGCCTTTTTAGTCATAAAAAAAAATATAAAAAGAAGAGAATCGCGCGGGAAGTGAGGAACGAGATGTAGTCACGAATAGTTAATGGACATTATATTGCAAATAATTTTTAGATAATATTAGTTAAAATCATTTGAAACGAATGACGTGTTTTTGTTAAATACTCAAGTGTTAAATTGATTAGCTAGGGGACATAAACGTTGATATTTTAATAAGGCCAGTGTTGCGCCGATACACCAGTAGTGTCGGATTTTCTTCCTAACATAATGTAAGTAATTTATGTAGTATAAAGGTTTTAAACAACGAAATAAATGCGTTTTGGCTGCCGCGCTGCTGTTGTTGTTGTGCTGTTTACAATTTATACATAAGGGTCACAAGGAAAAATAAAAATAATAAATGAAAATGAGAACTTCAATTACATTAAAATATATCTATATTTAGTAATATCTTCAATAACATAATTACAATATTCATTTAATTATATATTAATATTACATTTATCAATTACACGCAGAATTAACAAGCGATCTCAAGTTAGCGCCGAGATGTTCTCTGCTGACAATGAACTATAGTTTAAATTCAAATAAATCTCAAAAGTCATATTAATAAAATTATCGGAACAAATATTCATAATATTTCATAAATAAATCTTCAGTAATCAATCACGCTCCAAAATGAATCCACAGAATTACAACATAATTAAAATGATGTTTAATTAACATGTTATTTAATGATATTTAGAGCTTGTTACATTATATTATATTATACATATGTGTTAAATATGTATTACAAAATTTATTACAATGTTAAAAGGAATGCAATTAAACAAATTCAAAATCATTGATAAGACAGACAAATAATATGCGAGTGAATACACGTGGCACTAAATAACATTAAATAAATTTATAATTAATTTTAACATTTGTTAAAATCAAACTAAACCTATACATCATTATAATGAATGATAGAGGAGAAGTAGGTGCTCATCGATGCAGTTGGGGCAGGAGCTGGTGCGAGAGCTGCAGCAGCAGCTTGAGTCCGGGCAGGAAGGCGGCGGCGGCGGCGAAGTCCGCGCCCGAGGCGAGGGCGGTGGCGCACTGCAGCGCGTGCGGGAACTCGCGCGTCTGCACGTACTGCGCGCACTGCTGCAGCGACCTCACCGCGCCCTCCGACAGCTGGCACGCATCACATCACATCACTTTTATATCTACCTTCAATCGGCGGCAGAGGGGATGCACAGAAAGAAATTATTTCCCGTTCCTATGCATCCCCTCCTCCGTCAATATCCTTTAGTTATAAGAAAAAGAGTAGAAATAGAAAGGAAACAAAATTAGTCCACCAGCACCACGTGTCTTCTGTGTGGTCGTGGTATTGCGCCAGGAGAGCCGATCAATTCGTTTTTGTCGTTCAATTTCGTTTTGCTTTCTGTCCGTCCGTCTGTCTATACCTACCCTGTATTCCCGCAGCAGGTCGTACAACGTCTCCAGTCTTCTCTGTACGTCGTCCAGCTTCCTCTTCATTTGCTGCAAACAGAGTAAAATAAGCGATTCGTTCTGGAGCAACAGTAGGGAGGGAGGAGCTAGGTGATTATGTAGGTAGTTAATACAGACCGGGTTGGGTGCGTGCTGCGCGCACTCAGCCCGCAGCGAGTCGAACACAGTCTGCAGCACGGCGTACTGCTCCGACAGCGGCGGCTTCTGCACCGGCGCAGGCGCAGGCGCAGGTGCGGGAGCTGGTGCCGGCGCTGGAGCGGGCTCGGCCTGAACGAATGTTACATATTATATTTCAATCACACAGAAAACAATTTATCGTTATTTCTAACCATAATTATGATTTCTAGCTGATCTTAAGGATAAGTTTACCTGCTGATTGTAAACGGTCTGCTGCGCGTACTGCTGCTGAGAATATTGCTGGTCGGCATAGTATCCGGGGGCAGGGGCGGGCGCGGGGGCGTAGCCCTGCGGGTGCAGGGGCACGTGCTGCGGAGGCTCCGCCCCGAACAGTGGATGTGTGATGGGCGCCTGTGCGGTCACCTCTTGCTTTGGCTACAAACATATACCACATTAAATGCAACTTTATTACACTGATAAGGTTCAATATCATCTAGAAATGTTTATATGCGATTTACCGTGCGCATGAAAACTGTATGAGATAGATGTTTAGTATTCGATACAAATGTTACCTAACAAAAAACAACACTACATTAGTATCGACGTCAGAAATACCAAAAACAACATGTCTAGGATGACGTCACTGACGGCGAGGCGG